TATATATATAATAACAAATAAAAAAAATAACTTGTCAAGAGTATTTTTGTAAAAAGAAAAGGCAAAAAATAAAAATGGAGGGTGAGAACATAAAAGTGGAGGTGTTAATAATAAAGCCCGAGAACAAAATAAAACAAAAAGAGAGCATCGGCTCAAACAAAACAAAAAAACTTGAGAAATGTGCCATTTGGAAATAATCAAGATACTACTCTTGTTAATTATTAAAGCTTATTTAGTTAAAAAAATCTGGAATTTACGCCATGTAAAAAATCCTTTATGTATAACTGATTGACCTATTTAAATGAAAATTAATAAATACTACTTCTAATTGGGAAGATAGGATACGATAAAAATGAGAGTAAAATAAGATAAAAATAAGATATGATAAGCATATAATAAGTTTTAATTCTATCCATCATGATAATACATCACACAATATTATTTTATTAAAAGATTTGTATTTAATATAGACCAATAAAATATGACATAAATCAACTCCTATATATTAAAAGAAAATGATTATCTTATGTGAGATTATTTTGAGAGTTATATTTTGATAAAAGTGTTTTTAAAGACTTTTATAACTTATTAAATTTTATTTTTTATTTATCATATTTATTTATGAATTAAATTTTAATATTTAAAACATATTTTTAATAACTAAAAATAATCTTGTATAGTAATATAAATTATCCATCTCAAATTTAAAATATAATTTAAATGTTTAAAAATATTTATTTATATAAATTTTTAACATAATTTATATAATTAAATATAATATTTATTTATATGTATAACTTGTTATTAAATTTAGTTATATATAGTAAATGTATTATTTGTGAACTGCACATGATAAAATATTACTCACTGTTAAAAGTTAATCCATAGGTTAGTACACTGACTCAGAGACTTCACTAATCAATTTTTAAGACATTAAAACTTTAATATTTAATTATATTTTTGAACTTTTAAATTATTAAGATATTAAAATTGTGTTTAGTTAGTGTGTATTTGTCATTTGAATTATTTTTAAGACTTTTTGATGCTTTTGTTATTAAGAGTTTGAGATTATTGTATAAATTTTGGTAATATTGTTAGTCCTAACATTTTAATATTTACTTTCTCTGCTATTTATTATAAGAAAAAAAATGATTTTACATATATTAAAATAGTTAATTATTTGCATTAAATTTTATTATTCCAATAATATTTTTCTTAAATTGTCTTTATTATAAAGTAAAAAAAAAGTAATGTAATTGAAATGTCATGCATTAAAGAAAGATATTTTGGAGGAGAATATTATTAAATGAGACAAAAATAATTAAAATTTGTTTATATTTAAGAAGAAGAAGAAAAAAAATATATATATATATATAGAGTAATATTTAAGATTATTTTAAATGTTAGAATATTTTAGTATGATAGTTTTTAACTTAATTTTTTTCTTCTTCTAATTTATGCATTTTTAAATATTATTTTTTCAAATTATTATTTAGACCTGAAGACTCATTTATTTTGCAAATGAGCTTGTGTAGCACATTTAAACTACAAACATCATAGGTTGGATCTTAAATGGACCAAACTTATCCACATATCCATCTTTAGTTAACTAATAATGTGCTACCACTTAAATGATATAGAAAATATTATTTAATTTAAAATAATTTCTTAACTGATTAGATTAATAAATAATATTAAAATAAATAAAATAAAATATATTATTTTAATGACGTTAATAAAGTTATTAAAATAAAATAGCGTTATTTAATAACGTTATTTAAAAAAATATTTTAAAAACGCCATTAGATAATGATATTTATTTTATTTTATTACGTTACTGAATTATATTATCTTTTTTAATCTTATTTTAATAAAACTAGTGAATAAATTTATTTTGATAATGCTATTAAATAATATTATATTTTAAAATAATAAATAAGTTTATTTATTTTTTAATAACATTATTTTTTTAATATAATAAGTTAAGATTATACTACTAAAATTTGTTTTATTACAAGCGACTTTTCCTGCGAATTTTTATGAAAAATTCGCAGGAAACGTTGTTCCTACAAATTTTTATGCGAAATTTTATCTATAGGTAATACCTTATAGATAACATATTTTTGCGAATTTTAAAATTCCAAAAAAAAATTCCTGCGAAAAAAATTCGCAGGAAAGTTTTCTGCAAAAAAAAAAAATTACAAGAAAGTTTCCTGCAAAATTTGCAGGAAAATTCGTAGGAAAGTTTTCTACGAATTTTTCGCAATAAATTCTGCAGGAATATTTTTTACGAAAAAATTAAAGAAATTACTATAAATTATATCAATAATTCTTTAACTTTTAAATGTTCATAATGAATTCATCCGAAGTATTTGTTTACATGTCTCCAACAAGTGATACATAATCTTTTAAATTCTAAGATTGTAGATTATAAGTCTAACACTCAACCATAAAAATCAACTTGTAAGGTAAGTGTTGCCCCAACTTATATACTCTTTAATTATTTTATTTTCAATCGATGTGAGACTTAAAGTCTTTTTTAAATATTAAACTTATAAATTTAAATATTTTTTTTTTATTTTTCCTGCAAATTAAAATTGGCAAGAAAATTCGCAGGAAAAGTTACCTGCAAATTTTTTCTACCATTTAGTAATATTACTTGCGAATTTATTTTTACAGGAAAATCTGGAAGAAACAAAATAAATTTCTTACAATATTTTTCTGCAAATTTTTACCATGGAAATTTTTTTTATGATCATTAAAATTGTAGCAAAATTTGCAAAAATTTATTGCAAATTATTTTTCGTAAAAAAAATTGTAAAAAATATCTGTAAATTATTTTTCGCAAATAAATTCGTAAAAAATTTTTGCGAAATTATTATTGTAAGAAAATTCGCAAAAGATTTATGCGAATATTTTTTTTAGGAAAATGACATTTTTCTAGTAGTGTTAATTTAAATTAAATTTCAGGTTGCATTCTTTAAGTGATAATACATCAATAAATAATATCTAAATTTAACGGTTAATAAATATTGAATTAAATGTAACACTAAAAATGTAAACTTTTATATTAGGAAGCTAAATAATTCAATTTTAAATTAGGAGACTAAGATTGTGAATTAATTAAAAAAATAAAAATATTAGTTTTGCATAAAATAAAAAAGATTAAAAACACAGTTTAGTATTTCTTCTAATAAAATATACCTTAAAGTAAAGATATCTTCCGACTCACATTAATCACCCCTTTGATTATATTATTTAAAACACTTTGAATTAATGCAATTCTTGGGATGACATTATAATTACAAAATTTTAACTATATCTATTAAAGATATCCTACTTAAATATACTTTAATTCTTTAATGACACGATACCCATTTTCTAATATACTTTAAAGATATCCTACTTAAATATTCATTCTTTCGAGTTTGTTACTGAGTGGTTTTATTTATTTTAATAAAATATGCCTTTAATTAAAGATATATTCCGAATTTCCGACTGAAATTATATATTGTAGTATTATATTTGAAACTCCTTTAATTAATGCAATTATTGAGGTGCCGTTAAGGGTATCTTCTAAAACGGTAGCAGTAGTAGTTAAATATAAATTCTTTCGAGGCATTTTACTTCTTTTAATAAATATACAGGATTCATTTATTCTTATTATTGCACACTTAGTTATAATAGTATCTCATAATATCGTTTTCGTGGATATTCATGTCAAAAGACAAATACACACACAAAAAAACTACAATATTTATCATACTGTTTTTTTTTTTGGTAAAAACTTAAATAGATAAATAGTTTGTTGTATTAAACTAATAAATGAAAAACACGATCTTATAAACAAAAAAATCCTAGCATATACATAAACAGGCATCGTGTCGGAAGGGTGTGCTTAAAAAATGAAATCTACACCATAAAAAATAAAGTGCCCATAAAGGAAAAGATCATACATAATGATAAGATCGATTGAGTGATTTTGGAAGAATAAAGAATGAAAAAGATTGAGGGAACACTCATGCTTTGTTTGGGTGAGGGGAGGAATAAAAAAAAAATTGAGAGAGAATAAGTAATAATTGTTTTTGATATAAAACATATAAATAATAAATTGTAATATAGTGAAATTTGTAATTATTTAGTAGAGTGAAATTAGGTGAAAAATAAAATAAAATTAGTATTTATAATTATTATTTTACTTTCTTTTTATAATATGATTTGAATTATTATTTTTTTACATGTTTTAATTTTATATATTTTCGAAATTTCACAAGAATCTCCTCACGAATAGCTATTAAAAATAGTGTGAAATCCACTTATAGTTCCTCATAATTTTCCTTAAATACTCTCTATCAAAATACAAAATTTTGATTATAAAATCTTTTTGAAAAAATCTTATAAGTCATTCTTTATATAATCGTTTAAATTCCAGAAATTTATTTATACCAAAATAAAATTTTAAAATCTCAATCTAAATATATACCAAAGAAATACAAAAAAATGTATAAAAAAATCTCAATTTAATATATTACCTCTTATTACCATCCAATAGATTTTGAAAATATAGTAAATGAATCACTATCCACCCATAAAATTAAATGAATAGATTGAATCAAATCTATCAATATTATATACATTGTGTAATAAATGTATCAAATGAACTTCTTTCATAATAGATTAAATAGACAATTAATAAATGAATTACTTTATCATTCTTAATATTTATTAGTTACTTTTATCAAATACTTTCAATTCAATCAATCAACTCATAATTAGAATTTTAAATTTTCAGCTACAAGTGTATAACATATAAGTTTTGGGTTAATTTATAAACTAAATTTATCAAACACACTCTTAATAATCCTATTAGAGTAAAACAACTTTACACTATATATTAACAATAATTATTATAATTTTTTTTATAAACTTATGATACATAATGATTCGTAATTAAATAACAGTATAAAACTGACGATGTGGGTGCATAACTTATTTATTCTATTACTACATGTTGTATGTGTTGCCATATATATATATATAGATAGAGGAAGGGTGAGAAGTGAGAAGCAGAAACAGAGACATCGATTTGGAAGCATGAAACTAGTTGTGAGTGTTTACCTGACGCTATGCGTGGCCTCGTCCATTATCATAACCATGGCGACAATAGAGAGAGTGGGGTTGTTGTTGGGGAGAAACGAATACTATGTTCGAGTCATCAATGGTTTCACAGACAACTCCTCTGTGCCTTTGGTCATTTGGTGTGCTTCGGAGGAGATGGATCTCGGAGGGCGTGCCCTGCAGGAGCACGATGACTTCAGCTGGGTCATGAGGCCTAGCTTTTGGGGCACCAACCGCATGAAGTGCACCATGAAATACGACAGCACCAGGAAGAGCTTCGAGGCCTTTAAGGCTTCTAGGGACACCCATAGGTGTGGCCCTCATAGGATGTGTTCTTGGTTGGTCACTCAGGATGGCTTTTATTTCAGCAATGATGAGGTCAATTGGAGGAAGGACTTTATCTGGTGAATGCTAGCTAATGCTCCCATCAATATCATTTTCCTTCCCCTGCTGCACTCTGCACTCTGCACTCTGCACTCTGCACATTCCAACCACAAGACTCTTCTTCTGCTTCTGCCAATTTGCTTAGAGGGAATGTCAGATTTTGTAATATCATTATAAAACACATACATGTGTGCTTTGTTGTATAGATATATGAAAAAGGTGATGAGTTTTGTTTCATATATATATAATATATAATAACATCATATTTCATGGTAGAAAATCCAACTGTTTTTGCAGCCATTTGGTTGGTTTGTTGTATTCAGCTACATTCAAGATCATGCCATTATCATATACTGCATATCTTCACAAGTACTTGCAGACTTTGTTAATGGTTCAGTTTTGTTCGAAAATTTAATTGGCGATCATTAATTAAGTCTTTTATCATAATACTACGTTTTTTTTTTCATTCATGAAATTTAAACCTGAAATTTTGATTGAAGAATTAGAGTGTAGTTTCGTCCAGAGTAACATAATGGTAAAAGCAAAACAATGTTTCATATCAAAGCAGTTTAAATTTTATACATAATAAATATGTCTTTACATTATACTAATTAAAGCACATGACAATCTTTTACCGAATGATAATGTAATCAACAAATTTATTATGTACAATAGTTTTTAATTGTATGATAGTGTAACACTAATTAAATTCTAATATATATATATATATATATATATA